CTACGTCCTCAGCCTTTAAACTAGTGTAACCTTCTGTCCAGTGATCCCACTTCTGGAAGATGTCAATAAGAAATCTTTCATTAGAAAATAGTCCCAGAGAAGAAAAGGGCTGAATTCTTTTGTTACGGGCATAAAAAGGATGTTTCCAGTGGTGTCACCGCAACGGTAGAAATGGGAAACAGTTGTTCTCCCTTTCGTTGAACATCTATGTTAAGTAAATTGTAGTTTTCTGCTTGGTGGAATATTACGCGGCCATTATAATAATGAGAACATAGGCAATATCACGACTTGGAAAAACAATTATGATATAAGTGAAAATATCTGGTTACAGAATAAATACATTATGGTAACTTGTAAAATAAACGTGAGAAAAAATTGCAAAGGGGAAAAGATAATGGCTGCTTGTTTGGTGGAATTACGAATGCTTTTTCTTTCTATGACACATGGATTTGCTTTTTTTAAACTAATTTTAATCTGGATGAATACACCATACATCATTAACAGTGACTTTCTCTAAGATGTTGGATGATGGAAGACTTTGCTTTCTAAGTCATTCCTTTCCATCATGTTTAAATTTCAGCTGCGAGCACATGTTACTTTTATAATCAGAAAAAATAACAAAGATATTTTAAAATGCTAGAATTAAAAATTTTTTAAAGGCCATATTTCCCAAGAAAGAGAAGAGGAAGGCTGAGCTGGCTAGCTGTTGGTACCTACCCTCATTCGTGTTCAAGGGTCTGGGCCAGTTTGGACTCATTCATTCATTCATGCATTCCAAAGGTATTAGTAGGTCTTATTGCCAGGCACCATTCTAGGCACTGGTTACCCAGCAGCGAAAAAAGAGAGCCCCTGCCCTCATGGGGCTTTCATTCTAGTTGGAGGAGATAGACAATGAACAAGTAGCGAAATATCAGAAAGTGAAAGTGCTGTGAAGAAACTAAAATGGGATGATGTGAGTGATGGGGAGGCTATTTTGGATTGGAGATCAGAGGTCTCTAAGGGGTGACAGTTGAGTTGAGACCTGAATGACAATGAGGATGCAGGCACATGAGGTCTAGGAAGAGCCTCGCTGGCAACTCACAGGATGCCCAGCCTATAGGGCCCATCCATAGAGTGCCCTTTGCTGCTTGAGCCCTGGGGACCCTCTGTGCCAAGGCTGCCTCCATTCCCCAAGCCCGCTGGCCCCGCCCTGCACCTGCCAACTGGGATTTGCTTATCATCTGAGGCCCTCTAAAATCCTTCCCCGCCTGCCGCCCTGTGTGAGGTGGTTGCTTCTGGCTCTCTGCTGCTGTTCCAGGCACAGGGCTTCTCTGGGCAGCCTGCATGCTGGCCACTGCTCTTGGCTGGCAGGTCTGGGCCATCTGAGATTCCCGGTAGCATTGGGATGGGCTGGCAGCCAGAGAGGCTCTGGGTAATGTGTGGCCTGGAGAGGGGTCTTTGAATGTCACCTGCCTTGAGGCTCTGAGAGGTGGCTGTTGTCATGGTCCTGAGGGGTCAGCTTGTGATCCTGGAGGACCTTCTTGTGGATTCTGCCAGAATTGGGCCTCAAAACAGAACTTGGTCTCAGAATAGCCTCAAAGGCTCCGACACCCAGTTCTGAGCTTCACTGATGATCTACCTAGACTTTCACGTCCTTCTTGCATCCTGTTGTCTCTTCATACACTATCCCAGCCTTCCAGAAGCAGAAGCTCAGAAAATGTTAGTACTCTCAGAAGAGCCTGTAGCCAGCTTCAAGCAGTGCAGTGTGCTGGTTGGGAGTGAAGGCTCTGGAGCTAGGTTTGAATTCTAGCTCTGCCTTTTTTTTTTTTTTTTTCCTTCTTTTTTCCTTTTTTGTATCTCTGCCTTTTATAGTTGTAAGAACTTAGGCTAATTATTTAGCCTTTCTCTGCCTTCATCACCCCATCTGTCAAATGGGCTCGAAGAGTATCTGAGTTAATATATACATGAAAAGCGCTGAGAAGCGTGCCTGATTATTATTATTATTGTGACTTGGGAGATGGAAGGAGAACCGTCCCAGGGGCCTTTCCTGGGGGATGCCCACAACACGAGAGGGTGGAACCCTGGCATCTGGGCCAGCCAGTGACCACAGGTATTTTCCCTCACCTGCTTCCCTTTGGCCCTGAAGTAAGCCCATGTTTTCATCCCCACCACCCCAACTTGATAACCACAGGGCAAGCTCAGGATAGTTTCAGACCTCACGTCTTGCACCCAGATGCAAGAGCAGCTGCCCACCCCTCACTGATTCCACTGGCCTTCAGGGGGACTCAGGTTATTCACGCTGTCCCCGACTGCCTTGCTCTCAGCCCTCCACCCCCACTCCCACCCCCCGCCCCAGAAGGGCTGTGCATCTCCCCAAAGTGTCGGACTAGAGTGATTTTGGTGCCTGAGGATGGGGAGTAAAATTTGGGAAGTAAATGGGTGAAAGAGGAAGGCCTGCCTCACTCGGCTCCATGGAAAGGGAAGCTGGATTTTCTAGCAAGATGGTCCTTTGGACAAAAATTCCCAGTGTCGTTGTGTTGTGGCACCTCAGCTTCCTGGAACGTGATGGGAGTTTTTGGCAAAACCAGAGGACAATCATGTCTTCTGGTTTTGCCTTCAGCCTGCCTTGGACTCTTATGGCATTCTATTTGCCCCTCTCAACTGCTCTCTCTGCTCACTGCTCTCGGAAGGTGAGGTACTCCTAGGGAGCAGGGCTCTGAAGGCCAGCCCCCTCCCTTCCAATCACCTGTCCCCTTGGAGAGGCAGTGCCCTGCCCTGACAAGTCTCTTTGAGTTTTGGTCCTTCGCTGGAACTCTCTGTTCCTAGGCTCTTTCATCAACAAGGATGAGGAATTTCATCAACACTTATACTTGAGTGTTGCTCCATAAAATCTCTCTTGTGAAATTGTCCACTGCTCTCCAGACTTTTTTCTCCTGCTTCAGTCTTATGCTCTCCTTCTCTTCACTCCACCCCGTGTTTTCTTTCTTGGGCTGTCCCATTTTTGTGTCATGGTCCTCAGGATGGTGTGTTTGTGACTGGGAGAAAGAGGCAACGTCCAGCGTGCTGCTGCCACTTCCTGATGGCGGCTCTCCCAGGGCTCTGATCCCAGGCTGAACAAGGAGGTACCACAGGGTCTGGGGCTAAGGGCTCAGGAGGGGGACTCCGGGCAGGGATAGGTGTCCGTTGGGCTCAGCAGAGGGTGCATGAGCCTGTCCTAGCTCAGAGTATAAGCACAGCTCCTGCGGTTATTAGACATGGGTTTGGGGAATGGAGTTCTGAAAATGCACCCAAGCCATGCCTGCCTCTCATCTCAGCGTCTGTCCCACCACAGCGTGAGCCGCCATTCCAGCTGACTACACTTCCTCATATCCCTGGTCCCTGTCTTCACCCCTATCTCCTGGCCCCAGCTGGACTTCTAGTCTCCTCCGTTTGACTTGAATGGACCAGGTGTGTTCTCCTTGAGTGACCCCTTGGACGTGGTCTGACCTTGCCTAGGTTTGCTTCTTCTCTACCTCCCTTTGTTCTTCCAGGTATAGAAGATTCCAGAAATAGAATCCAGGCCTCTGGCTGACCCTGTTTCTCCCCCATCTGCTCTTCTGTTCAGCAGTTTGCCCTCTGTCTCCCTTTAACAGCTCCTTCTTTAATCTTGCTTCTGCTCATAGGGTTTGGGAATCCAGCTCTTCCACGTCACCTGCTCCAGGGGTGGCTGGAGCCTCTGATTTGTTACTGATTGGGAAACCATTCTTTGTGGCCCCAAATGATGAGACCAAAGGGCAAGGAGAGCAGGGTTATAAAATCGGCATCAAGGTCGGGAGCTTACCTGAGTGACGAACCCACTTGTTATGACAGGCCGCTGCACAGCTAAATGGTAAGCCCTCTCCTCAGATCCTGTGGGAAGGAGGAGCCAGGGGTGCGAGTGCAGGTCAGGTAGACAGACCCAAGTTCGGAGGGGCCTGAGTGGGGCGGGAGGCGGAGTGGTCTGTCGGGGGTTCAGGATGACATGAGGGTGTGAGAAGCCGTACCAGGAACACTAGCCCTTTCATTCCACCCTTCTTTTCGAGGCTGGCCTCCAGAGGGCTACTTCTGAAACCCTTCCCCTCTCAGCCTCGTGGAAGCTGGAAGCTCACGTTGACTCTCCTCAGCTGAGTCTTCCTTCTCCCTCAGGCTGTATGTACCATTATTGTTCTTACAAGTTATTTGGCTGCCAGGTTGGTGCTCTGGGTGGAGGGGAAGACCTGTCTTGCTTGGCAAGGAAGACTGTGTGACTGCTAGTGAGGGGTAAGGTAGGAAAGGGCACTCTGAGCGACGGGAGCCAACCACGAAGCCTGGCTCGGTGCCAGAATGACAGCCACCTTATCTTAAGCTTTGGCTGTATTCTCAGTAGTGTATATCTATTAACTCATTCATCCTCACAATAACCCTCAGAGGTAGTTACTCTTATTATCCTCACTCTACTTACAAGGCTCTGAGGCATAGAGAGGTCGGGTAAGATGCCCTAGACCCCACAGTTGGGAGGTATCAGCCAGGATGCAAAACCAGGCAGTTAGGATCTAGAGTCCCTGTGCTTAACCAGTACGTTCTATTCAAACCTGAATGTCATGGTTTGTTGCTGGGGGTGGCTCAGGGGTCAAGAAGCTGTTTCCATGGTTTGTTTGCTGGGGGTGGCTCAGGGGTCAAGAAGCTGTTTTCTTAGGGCTTAGATTCATTTGTCTGGTAAATCTATTGAGCATCTCATATGTACAAGGCACAAAGATGAGTAATATTCATTCAACAAATTTTTTTAGATAAAATTTATTTTTATAAAAGTTATATGTACTTATTTAAAAAAATGGTAGACTGTACAGAAAAGTACAAAGAAGGGAATAAAAGTCACTTATGATGTCACCCTCCAGAGATGATTGTGGCTAAAATTTTGGTATATTTACATGTATGTATGCCTTTGCAAAATCAAAATCATATTAAATATTCAGGTTAAAGTACTGCTTTCTTTCTCTTAACATTGTATTAAGCAAACATTCAAGTGGCTCCTAGAGCTGGCCTTCAGATGAATCATGGCAAAGCTGAGTGGTGACTGTGTCACAGAAATGAGCTGGGTGCAAAGGTGGACAGACAGGGCAGTGGATAGAGCTGGAGTTGGAGCTGCTTAGGACAATCTTCACGGAAGAGGAGCTGACTCTTGAGGGATTATGAGTTCATGGGCCATGGGTGGGGATGGTGATGGCGGTGGTAGCAGTTGAGAAGGACAGCCCAGGTAGCAAAAACAGCAATGTAAAGGTTTGGAGGACAGGATTTGAAGCAGAGGTGGGTCACAAACGGGCTTTGCCAGCCATCCCTAGGGGGTTGAGCCTTACGATGTACATGTTAAAGATCCACTAATGGGCTTTAAGTGGGGAGAAACATCAGATTTGCATTTTAGAAAGATTACTGTTTCTACAGGCTCTTTCCTAGTGAGATGAGTGAATTGGAAAGGAGCCAGGCAAGGAAGAAGACAAGCTGGGAGACTGTTTGGAGTCATCCAGGTGAGAGATGACAAGGGCTTGAACCAGAGCTGCAGCAATAAGAAAGGAATGAAGAGAAGGAGATGAATTTCAAAGATATTTAAGAAGTAGAAAGGACAGGAGTTAATGGCTGACCTGGTGTTTTGCCATGTGACTTGCTTCAGCCAATAAGATGCTAATGGGCATGATTAACCAGAGTCTTGAAAAGCACTGGAGCAGCCAGGCTTACTTGCTCTGTGCCTCTGCCATTGCCATGAGAAGAATGTGCTGGGGTTTGTCCCCTGGGCCCAGAAAGGAGATGAGAGACAAGTGGAGCAGAGCCACCGCAGTCAAGAGTAGGACAGAGCTCCCAGAGGACTCATAGTCTCATAGCGGAATTCTTGAGTCCCGTGATCTGCCAAGCTATAGACACGTAAGCTGTAATAATAAATGAAAGATTGAAGTGAGATTATGGAAAGTCTTGAATGCCAGGCCAAAGATGCTATAGGGTTTCATTAGGAAATGGGGAGCCATTGAATGTTTTTGAGCAGGGGAGTAACATTAGACACTCATGTCTAGGAGATGGACAGTAGTATGCAGTGGGATGAATTTTGAAGTAGAAATCAAGAGCTATGGATTCTAGTCTCAGCTCTTCCATTTACTGGTGCTGGAATATGGGACAAATGACTTCCCTCTGAGCCTCGACTGTCTCTTTTAAAAAATGGGAGTAAAGCTATCAGCCCTTCACATGAATCTTAACTGTGTAAGAACCGATGACGAAATGTGAACGAGAGTATTTGAAAGATCACGAAGCAATGCACAAGGGTGGGTATTATTGTGAGCAGGCCAACCGGAGCTGAAAGATGAGACTGGGTTTCCCAGACAGGCAAGCAGACTGTAGATGTCATCTCGTTAACCTCTGACCCTGCTCCCACCTTGGAGAGGGTATTGACGGCAATGTCAAGCCTGGTGTCCATTGGCAGCTGGTAGAGCTGGGATTCATGTTCTCCTGCTCTGCCTTCCTATTCTTGATGCAGTTCTGAACTCCTCTCCCCACCCTCTGTGTAAATAATATGTGTCATTTAGAGAATGCCTGCTCAGGAGAGGCCTGTGCCACGGCTGCAGAGCAGAAGACTGGAAACAGTTGCCGCCCTCAAGGAGTACACAGGCTAGTTGGATCAAAAGGGCATGTGCCTCAAAATAGTAAATAGGGTGGCATTTGATAAAGGGCCAAATGAGTGATTCAGACAGTTGCTGGTGAAGGATGAGGAGAAAGCAGAGAGGCCTGTGGGCTGGGCCAGTCTTTGGGGAAGCAGGACAGGGCCTTAAAGACTGGCCAGGGTTCCAAGAGAGGACGGAAAGGGGAATAAGAAAGGGAGGGGAGGACTCTCTCCTATGTTAGCCGCTGGTTTCCTCTCAACATCGAAACTAAACACCAAGACCCCACTTAATGGAGCAGTTAAAGACAAATGTGACCACAAGCTACCACTTCACACTCATTGGGATGGCCATCATCAGAAAACCAGAAAATAACAAGTGCTGGCAAGGATGTGGAGAAATTGGAACCCTTGTGTGTTGCTGGTGGGAATGTAAAATGGTACAGGCGCTATGGGAAACAGCAAGGCCATGCCTCAAAAAATAAAAGCAGGATGGCCATATGTCCCACCAATTCCACTTCTGAGTATATACCCAAAAGGTTAGAAGCAGGGACACAAGATATTTATGCCCGTGTTCACAGCAGCATGGTAAAATGGCATTATTCACAATAGCCAAAAGGTGGGAGCAACCCCTTAATGGATGAATAAACAAAATGTGATGTATTTAGATATATAGATCACAATGGGATATTATTCAGCCTTATAAAGTGAAAGAAATTCTGACACATGCCTCAGTATTGATGAACCTTGAAGACATTATGCTATGTGAAATAAGCCAGCCACGAAAGGATGGTTATTGTATGAGTCCACTTAAATGAGATACCTGGAGTAGTCCAACTTACAGACACAAAATAGACTGGTGGTTGCTGGGGTCTGGGGAGGGGATGTGAGTTAGTGTTTAATGAATATGGACTTTCAGCTGGAAAAGGTCTGGAGATGGATGGTGGTGGTGGTTGGTTGCACAACAATGTAAGTGCATTTAATACCACTTAATTGTACACTTAAAAATGGTTAAAATGGTAAATATTATGTTGTACATATGTGAATACACACACATTAAAGGCGAATGTGATAGCATGCTTAGAAAGATCTCAGAAATGTGAATAATGTGGAACTGCTTAAGAAGAAGTCGGGGAAGTGACGGGGTCCCTGGTGGATGGGCCTGGTGAGAAATCAGCTAGGAGCCTAGAAATGGGGGCGATTAGTGAGCCAGGACAGCTGACTCTTTAACTGACCACAGATAATCCCAAAAAGTTATTGTAGGGAGAGCAGTAAACACCTCCTTCCAAGCAGCGTGTGAGTAGAGTTACTCTGAGGAAGCCAGGGGGATTGTTTGACTTCTTCCTTTCACTTCTCATGCCCACCTGGCTAAGGTAAGGAATATGGAATAAAGTAATGAACCTGGAATGAAGTCAAGGTTATGGTTGGTAACCAAAGGGAACGGTAGAGGCAGCTTTGGAATCCACTCTGCCCAGGTTACATCAGAGATTTGGTCTGGTTGGTGGGAAGGAAAGGAGAGGCTCTCCCCCTCCCTACATTCCTCCTTCCCTCACCTGTCTCTTTTGTGTCCCCAGCAGCTGGCCCCAGTCTGCGCCATGGCTTCCGCGGAGCCCCTGACAGCGCTGTCCCGCTGGTACCTGTATGCCATCCATGGCTACTTCTGCGAGGTGATGTTCACCGCGGCATGGGAGTTTGTGGTGAACTTTAATTGGAAGTTCCCGGGGGTCACGAGCGTGTGGGCGCTCTTCATCTACGGCACCTCCATCCTGATCGTGGAGCGCATGTACCTGCGCCTGCGGGGCCGCTGCCCGCTGTTGGTGCGCTGCCTCATCTACACGCTCTGGACCTACCTGTGGGAGTTCACCACTGGCTTCATCCTGCGCCAGTTCAACGCCTGCCCCTGGGACTACTCCCAGTTCGACTTTGACTTCATGGGCCTCATCACCCTGGAGTACGCAGTGCCCTGGTTCTGCGGCTCCCTCATCATGGAGCAGTTCATCATCCGCAACACCCTCCGCCTCCGCTTTGACAAGGACGCTGAGCCTGGGCTGCCCGGGGACCCCCTGGCCCTGGCCAACGGCCACGTCAAGACTGACTGAGTTGGGGGCTGGTGGGGGTGGGCAGATCTCACCTGGGCCCTGTGGGGAAAGGTACCAAGCCAGTGGAACTGCTCCCTGCCCCATCCCGGCCTCAGCCCTGTAGGGCTCGTACAGTCCCCATTCCTTCCGCTGTGCACAGGCGTTGGGGGCCTGGGCCGGTGATGGGGGTGGGGTGTCGAGGCAGGACTTTGAGAACGGTCCGTGGGTCTCTGCTCAGCTCAGAGGCTGGTAGCAGGAGACCTCTGTCTTAGCAGCGACTAGGCTACCTGGGTGACTTTGGAAGCAGAAGGCCCTGTCCTGGCTAAGAGGCTCTGAGAAGTGGGCAAACGGTGGGAGGCAAGGTCTGAGGAGGCTTTGGGGTACTGCCTTGGCCACTTGGTGCCCTGTCACCTGGTTTAGTTAGGCTCTGGCTGGTTCCATTAGGCAATATTCAGGTGCTTGCTTGCAACCAATACCTCCCCGGGAGCCTGCTGAGCTGCAGCCCAAGAAGAGACTGGGCAGCCAGGAGGCTGCTTGGCAGCTGTCTGCGAGGGCTGGAAGGCCTTCCCTTGGCTCCCCTCCCCTCCCCCAGGGCCCCATGCTGCTTTCTTGGCCTTCTGGGGTCCCCCTGGTGCTGGATTCCCACCAACCTTGGGCTTTTGGAGGTTTCAATCCCTGTGTGTTCGGTGGCGTTTCCCCCTTTTCTCTTATTTTCAAGGCTTTTACCACTAGCAGCCCTTTATCCATGTCAATCACCCCACCAGTTGCCAACCCCAATGCCCTAGCCAACACAGCAGCTGCCAGAGCTAGAACCCTGGGACAGACCCCGCCCGCCCTCTGCAGCCGTTCCTCCACTATCGCCCCCGTCTGGTGGGCTGCGGCAGTGCCCTGGTGCTCTCCTCCGCCCGTGCCCACTCCCCACAGTGGCCCAGCTAAAAACGAATGATACGCACAACACACAGTCAGGCCGAGATGGGCCCCACAGATCCCCAGTGGGGACCTAGAGACAAATCGATGTGTGTGTTTGTGGTGGTGGGGAGGTATAGGCACACCTGACTGGTTTATTTTTAAGCCAGTCGGGGGCAACCTAGCATTCTAGGGGATGGAAGAGCAATATCTGTTGTTGGAGACCCATGGAGGATGTGCGAGGGGGAAAAAGATGAAGGCCTCTCAGCTTTGGGAGGGACTTTGGAGCATCCTTGTGGGGAAGGCATCAGTTCTGGTTCTGCCATAGCCCCAGCCCTGCAGCAAAACCTCCTCAGGGCTACCTCCTCCCCACCCCTCCCGGCAATGCTGACACTTTGAGCTTGCTCCTTAAACAGTATTGACCCTGCCACGCTCACAGGCATTGTCATCTTGGTGGCCCTGCTTTCCTGTGACAGGTACATTGCTGGCAGCGGACAGGTGAAAGCTTCACTTCAGCCCACTTCCAGCTCTGCCCCTACTCTCCAAGGGGAGGGGTCCATCAGAATGCAGCCTATCCCATGGTACATGGTCTCTTCTTGACCACATTAGGCCTCTTAGGTAGAAATTAGCCTTTCCCTTTTTATAGAACATTAAAAAGTGATAATACCACCCGTGGAGAGAATCTCCTCCTTCTTGCTGTGTTTCTCCACCTAGATCGTGCAGACAGCACCGGGCCAGGACAGGTGGGCTGGGTGTGGGCAGAAGTCGTGTCCCAGACTGGGAGAAAGGCTGGGAGACTCTGCCTTTGGCAGGATTACTTTCTGCAGTTGACCCTGCCCAGGAGGAAGGGTATTTCCCAGTCTCTGTGTCCTGGGCAGGTTCCTCAGATCCAGGCAGGAAATACATTCTGCAGGGGCCAGTCCTACCTTTGATTTTACTGTGGCCTCAATTCCAGGGCTTGGGGCTTCCAGGGATTCATGTTTCCAGTGGGGGTAGATTGCTTTCCATCTACAGGTGGAGAGGATTCCAGAAGAATATTGTTTGGCTTCCATGTGTCCTCTTGGTAATTGTTTCCTTGGTCCTCTCCCCCAACCATGCAGTCTCAGCCTCCTGGACCCCAGCACCCCTGCAGGCCCCCATGGGGCCCCTAGACCACACTATCTGCCTTTGCTCTCCCCTAGCACGACAGAATCCGAAGGTCAGTCTGTTAATGTCTCCCAACATAAGGCTTCCAAAATTCTCAGCCCAATGAAGCCCTTGAATGACCCACCGAGTCTGACTGCTCCAGATGTTGCCCTATGGGCATTCCTTGGCACCATCTTCTCTCTGGGCCCTAAAAACCCCCACGTATGGGAGGTCCCGAAGTAAACCTGCCTGGCTGGCAGTGTGCAGAACATTTTGTTTCTGTTTCATTCAGGTGCCCCAAAGCTCCCATTGTCCCTCATAGGGCACAGAGCCCCCAGCAAGGGGAGGCAATGAGCCAGGGCTTGACCACAGCATCTGCAGGCTCAGAGCTCACTGGCGATAGCCCAGACTTCAGCTCTTCTTTCTTGGGCATCTTCAGGGCCCCAATTCCTTAGTGCCCAGGGTCTCAAAATGTGGAGTAATCCCAGCCCTGCCAAGCAGTGGAGGTCCTGGTGGGGAGAGTCAGCTTGCTATTTATGAACCTCTGGTGTCCTGGGCCTCTCGCCGCTGGACATGGCAGCATCTCTGAGTTACAGATCACCACGTGGTGCCCTGCATGGTTGAACTGCTTCTGGTGTCTGCTAGGTATCTTGTCCTTTGTGCCCTGTTCCCTCTGATGCCAGTGAGTCATAATGGCATCACAATGGCCTATGCTTATTCTCAGCAATAATACCTGGGGAGTGCCCATGAGTCCCTTTTGTCCTGGTCCCTTGGCCTCTGCATGGGTCTCCTGGGGAGGAAGCCACTGAGGGGGTCAGTTCATGAGAACCGGTACTTATGAAGCTCTGGGCTGTGCAGACATAATCATAAGGGATGCATAGAGAGGCCAGCCTTGGAGGAGCTATGGCTAAGGCCAGGAGAGGACCGTCCACCTTGACCCACCCCAGCTCTGCAAAAGGGCGTTTGAGGCAGGTGGGACTGTCTCCAAACTGCGGCGCTCTTCAGAAGGACACGTGACTGGTTTGTGCACCCATTGCCTGCTCTGTCTCTGTTGGTCTCTCTTTCTTTTCACATTCATGCACATAAAATATACCGGTGTTTGTGTTCTAGGACTGGCTCTGACCCATCTCTGTTTCTTCTGTTTTGAAGCCCTTTCCTAGGGGTTGCTGGAAGCCAGGCCCTTTACACTCTGGCATCACACTGTCCTGAATCAGAGGCCTGCTGGGTGGGGCAGGTGGTTCTTCCTGCCAGTCCTTTTCACTGTCTCTACTCTGACCCTCTCTGGTCCCCGGCATTCTCCACCCACCCCGCCCCCCACCCCCATCAGCAGCATAATGTGGTCCAGGCCTTACTTGTTCCCAGGCTGCAAGGCAGCTGAGGAGTCCTGGATAATATCCGGATTGGCTACAGGTTAGCTGGCCTTGAAATGAGCTCTTCTGGAACACATCAGCCATGACCTGGGATGTCTCAAGGGGTAGGAGGGCCCAGGAATAGACTGAGGGTGCCCCCAAAGAGCTGTAAGACCATGCCCTTTACTTTCCGCTACACTGAAAGTCACGCTTTTAAGAAACAGAGTTCTGCAGTCCCCTGGTAGCACTGCGCCCCTTGAGATGTGCATTTGGAGGGAGTGATCCTTCCTTACTTTGTGTACTTCTGCTCTACCTAGCGTCCCTTGTCCTCCCCTCCTCCCATCGTTCTCCTACCCACTTTCCTACTTCCAGGAAGAGGACAGAGGGTTCAGAATTTGCTTAGTTCAACTAAACCCACTTGGCTTTAACACCCGCCTTCCACAACCAGGCTGTAGAACACACTGGTTTTCTGGATGGAAGAGGCAGTGTGCTTTCTGAATCGTTGAGAAGGCGCAGAATTTGCTTAGTTCAACTAAACCCACTTGGCTTAACACCCGCCTTCCACAACCAGGCCGTAGAACACACTGGTTTTGTGGATGGAAGAGGCAATGTGCTTTCTGAATCGTTGAGAAGGCACTCTGCCTCCCGCACTTGAAGGTATTCATTTGACTGAAAGATTTTCCCCGTATAAAACTGAGCAAGTATAAAGGCTCAACAGTCATTTACATGTTACTATAAACAAATTTACAAGGCTATTTCCTTAGAGCAGGTTTCTATAGGAAGAAAGAGGCGAGCATAATGAAACAGGGTCTACCTATGGAACTTCAGAGCAGAGGCAAGAGGTGGGGCCCAGAAAAAAAAAAGCTGAGTGGACTCAAGGCCTTTCCTAACTGGCCAGATCCAGTGGGTGCCTTCCTTTCTTGATACTTTCCTTCCTCACATCCTCACCCAATCCAAAGGGGTCTTCTGACAACACTACATCGAGAGAAATTCTCTAGGAAAGTTAAGGCCAAGGACCTTGGCTGTATCTTATAAAATCTGCCCAGCCTTTGCCCAATGCTTAATTAATAACAGTGGATGAATGACCATGACCCTGCCCTTCTGCTGGGGGTGCCTATCTCAGAAGGGTGTATTGTCCAGACTGTTTGGTGGGCAGGGAAACAGGTCCAGGAAAAGGGAGCAACTGACTCATCATACATGGCTAGCACCACAACTGCAAGTACTGTGACCATGGCCGGGCACGGCACGGGGGGCTCACAGGCGTTTCTGCATTTTCCCTCATCTGAGGTGGGCATCATTCGTTCCCTGTTTTACAGCAGCGATCTGGTGGCAGCCAGTCTGCAGCCCCGATTTACTGTATCACTCTTTTTGTTTCAGTGTGAGCTGAAGACACTTCGGGCAGGATTTGTGATGAGGCAGGTGCCCTCTTGTACTTTGATGAGATTCGAATGTCGTTAAGAGTCCAGCCCATCCACATGCTAGTCACAAAGAGAAGTTAATGTTCAGTTGGGGGTGAGATGGGGTGACGAGGAAGGAGGTTTGGGATGCCATTCGATCTATCTATCTATCATCTATCTATCATCTATCTATCTATCTATCTGTCTGTCTGTCTATCTATCTATCTATCTATCTATCTATCTGTCTGTCTATCTATTTATTTTTTAGGCGAGGCAACCCTTGGTTGACCTCACAGATTGCAAAGACCTTGTCAACTTACAATCCCTTATTTTTTATTTTTTACACCTACAGCACCTGGTCTTCCTAGGTGGTCTCCCATCCAAGTACTAACCAGGCGCAACCCTGCTTAGCTTCCGAGAGCAGATGGGATTGAGCTTGTTTAGGGTGGCATGACTGTAGACTTGGGATGCCATTTTAGACAAGACTTTAAACAATTGGCGCAAGGATCCCTCCTTGCGCAGGGAGGTTTGTGAAATTCGGGACTCTTGCAATCCTGCGTTTAGGGTTGACAGCTCTCTCTCCCATATACATTTTGCCTTTGCCCTGGGCCTTTTTCCTTTGATTCTATTTCCTTCTCTTGAGATTAAGCCTGGGCCCTTAACTGTGTGTGTTCTCAGAGGGTTGGAAACTACCAGATGAAAACTTTCTCCTTCTGAAAACTCAGATGGGCCTGAGAATTAACCTAGTTAGTGCTTCAGCGTCTTATTGGACACTTACAGTGAGCCCGGGATCAGGCTAGTTACTGGGGTGCTAGCTGGGGAGAAAGACGTTGCATGGATGCTCATGCAGATTGTTCTATCACTGTGATGTTGCTAGTCCTTCAAAAGAGGAGCCTCCAACGGAGGAATCTGACTCGTCTACAGGGATAGGTAAGGATTCCCCAGGGAAGAGACACTGCAGACCTGAAGGTTGAGTGCCAGCGCCTTCAGAGGTAGGCTGGCTTCTCACTGACCAGAACGGCAGACTTTGACTGTGCCCTGGAAGGTGTCTAAATGTGTAAGTACAAAACAAAACCAGCACCCAGTGCGTGCTTCGAGGAACTCTTGAGAAACGAAGTCTCATCGAGAGTCGTCCCCAGTAAGCCTACACTAAAGGCCAAGCTGGATGTTCCAGAGCACCAAGTCTCCTTTGGGAACCCGAAGCTAAGAATCCTTTGTACGACAACCATTCCTGCCATATCTGTGCCCAACCATCATGGGGCAACTCACCGTCCTACTTCTCCTTTCCAAACCTTCAGTCCTCGCAGAAGCCCTGCCAGCGTCCCAGCTTCACTCTCAGTCTTTGGACCTTGGCCAAAGACCCAGCTCCACTGATCTGTCCATTGCTTCGCTCTGATGATGCGCTTTCTTGGTGTGGGGAAAGGTGTCCTTTCAATGCCAAACAGCACAGAGAAGAAGGTAGCCTGGTCTGGCTGCTTGCCTCTGTCACAGTCACACCTTCCAAACAGAAAGAAAAATTTCTGGTTTATAAGGGTTCATCAATGACAGAGGGTCCTGAGGCTGAAGCTTCTCAGTTCCAGAATGGGGTCGTATTAGTTTTCTAGGGCTACTAAAACAAAGTACCATAAATGGGTGGCTTAAAACAAGAGAAATATATTCTCTCAAAATACTGGAGGACAGAAGGCCAAAATCAAGGTGTCAGCAGGAGGCCCTGGAGGTCTTTGGGAAGAATTTTTCTTTGCCTCTTCCAGTGTCTGATGGCTGTGGCATTGCTTGGCCTCCTAAGCTTGTGGCAGCATC